GTTGTTGATGGCAGGAACAGGATACAGCATGATCATGAAGAGGAAGATGTACAGAGCCATACAGGATAGCATGAACGGTCCTATTGAAATCACTTTGAACAAAATAAGGTTAACTAAGTCATTTTACTGCTCATACAAATTGTGGACAATTTCATTTAGGTATACTGTAAGCAATAGCTTCAGAGTAAACTTTGATTTATGTTAGCTCTATGTAAAACAATAACATTAGCATCTTAAAGGTTGCATTTGGTTGTTTCTATGTAAGTAGTCCCGTGTAGCTCAGTTGGTAGAGCATGGCGTTCGCAACGCCAGGGTTGTGGGTTCGATTCCCACGGGGGGCCAGTATGTATGCACTCACTAACTGTAAGTCGCTCTGGATAAGAGCGTCTGCTAAATGACTAAAATGTAAGTATATCTGCAGTTTATCAGTGCGTAGTAGACGACACACCGGTGAAGCTTACAGTTTTTGTAGCTTGGCTGTCTGAAAGGCTTCTCCTGGGAGAAGATGATGGCCACAGCCTGGTACTGGAAGGAAGAGAGTAGTGTTCTTGTGGTCGACGTGTGACATTACGTTGAGACCATGGCCAACACTGGCACTGATAACATTACAGGCACTGTTGAAGAGGAACTTGGGTTAGCGTGAAATTAACTTTCTTGGACCTAATTACATGGGCCAGATATTGTACCTCAGATTGTTTACAGGATATGCCATGATGGTAACTGTCATCCAAGGGTGACCTTTATTGACCTTTGGATGGACTTCTTAGATGTAATTACACAACTAGGTGGTGTGGTGGAGAGTCATAATAGCCAAATAGGTGTCCCGGTTTCCTTCCCCCACAGCCCAGGCAGTGCAGTACTCACTCTGAGAGGGGCGTCCATTTCTCGTACCAGCCCTGGCCTCGGATCCAGAGGCAGGCCAGGACCTGGAAAGCCAAGCAGGTGAGGATCTGGGTCAGCACAGAGAACAGCAGAGGGCCTGAGATCAGACTGGACGGGGGCTGCCACGCCACCAGATCCTTCCACGCTGGGTTCAGATTCACTGGTAATAAAGAATGATAGGAAATCAATCAACAACAGTACATGATGATACATGTTATTCAAGGAGCACCTCTCATTCTACAGCAAAATCTCAAAGTGATTTACATAAAGTTTGAGCACAAATGGAAGAGCTGAATGTCTGTTCCCAATGGCAAATAATCTCATAAAGAATGTAGTTGGGATGTTTAGTCTTGAAATACTCAGCTCAGGTAATGCTAGCTAAAATATGTTGGAGAAAGAGATCCACACTACTCACTTGTGAAGGCAATGATTAGGATGATAGCAATGTCAATGAAGAGGAACTGGAAGTCTCCTAGGTTGCTGAGGAACTAGAACAGAGAAGCACAAGCCCTTAAAACTGATCTCAAACCAGCCGTTACCATGTTTGTCAGTTCATCAAACCTGCTAAATTGATCTGGGACCAGTACTCACAGTAGAGGAGTGTGACACTGAGGTACTGGATGATGCTGTACAGGGCCATGAACTTGAACAGACTAAAGTAGGTGATGAGAGCAGCTCGGCCCTCCCTGTTGAGAAACAACAGGCCATCATTCAGTCTGGCAACTCTGGATGAGACTACTTTGATGCAGCCCTTCAAATACCACAACAGATACATTTTATTCCACAGGCAGATATTTAACCTATAGTTATTCACATTGTTATACAGTTGCGGTCAAATATATTGGCACCCTTGTACTTTACAATGGAGTGCAATGGAGCAGAATGTTCTGTTTTCTCTTTTCAAAACTGGTTGAATGGCTATTTTTACCCTGTAGGCACCTTCAACTTACCACAGGTGAATTAAATTACACATAAATGAGAATCACTTGCCTCCCACCAAATTAATTTGAATTTGGAATAATTTAGTCTCGGCCAATGTTTTAAGTGAAAAATCGTAATTTCAGTTTAGATATTTTTTTCCTTGGTCCTGTGCAGTTGAAAATCAAACAAATACATATGGGAACACCAAAAGCTTTCAATGTATTTTTTGTTGTTGTTGAAGAAATAGTGAATCATGCAAGGTGGCCCATATATTTGACCGCAGCGGTAACCTAACAACTAACTGTCTGTTTAAGCACCGTTCGATATCATATTGTTACCAAAATAAGTACCTTATAAACAGCCATGTAATTTGTACCAACTGTATAAGGACTGTAAAATAAAGTCATAGTTAACACGGTTGATGAGAGGGATGCTACAGTACCTAATGAGGTTGGGCACACAGGAGATGTTGGTGCAACCGAGGTGCCCAGCTCTGACAAGGAGATCCCACTGTGAGATCTCTTCAAGGCCTGGAGATAGCAGAGAAAGAAGGGAGGAGGAGGGGAGGTCATTCAATGTGCTCCAAATAAATCCTTGGAACATTGGTTGTGGGTTCAATTCCCGTGGGGGCCAGTTGAAAGGTAAGAGTCTCTTTGTCTGTTTGCATTAAAATGTCTGAAAAAATACAGTTTATAGCAGAGTTACAAGAGGCTGGCTCTGTAATACATTACAGGAAAGAGAGGTCTGTTCCTAATAGTATGTCATGAGAATACTGCCCCCTTATGGATCTACTGACCAATGTCACACTGCTTGCCCTGAGTGGCTCGGTTGGTAGAGCAATGGCACTTGCAACACCAGGGTTTTGGGTTCGATTCCTCCGGGGAACCAGTATGAAAATGTATGCACTCACTACTGTAAGTCGCTCAGGATATGAGTATCTGCTAAATGACTAAAATGTAAATGCTTCCGCTCAGTCTTCAGTTAGTAAATAACTGATCCTATGGAACGGACAGTGGCCCTGATCATATCAACACTAATCTGCCCCTTCAAACATTATTTACAGTAATAATATATGCCATTTAGCAGACGCTTTTATCCTAAGTAACTTACAGTCATGCGTGCACACATTTTACGTTAGTCCCAGGAATTGAACCCACTATAGTGCCATTCTCTACCAACTGAGCTACAGAGGACCACGTAATTGAAGTAAAAGCACCCAGTGGATTTCTTCAGGACAGTAGTACACATAAAAATTACAACAAAATGAAAAACGACAATCCCATACTTAAGTCACAGTCATTGGCACCATCACCACACATCCCTACAGAATAGCTGCAGAGAAAGAAAACAAGAGGAGGTAATTGACGCCATGTGGATAACAGAAATGTAGGTAATGTAGTTTACCCAGTGAGCACAAGATGTTGAAAGCACGTCTTTTCAACTGAAAACATGTATTTTCAACGTCTTGTGCTCATATGGTTAGTAATAATAATAATAATAATAAGCCATTTAGCAGACGCTTTTATCCAAAGCGACTTACAGTCATGCGTGCATACATTTTTGTGTATGGGTGGTCCCGGGGATCGAACCCACTACCCTGGCGTTACAAGCGCCGTGCTCTACCAGCTGAGCTACAGACTCACAACACTCTGTAGGACCTCTACCAGTTGGGTCTTCTGGTCAGGTGTCACACCAGCCTTCGCTTTGGCTCCCCCTCCTGTCCAGCTCAACCTTTCAGCGTCGCCGGCCTTCTAGCAGCTGCCGAACCTACTGCTGGCAAACGCCCTTCACTCATCAACCCCGGACTTGTCTCGTCATTATTACACACACCTGGTTCCAATCCCCACTCTATCACTGTATATATACTCCCTCTGTCATTTGTATTTGTCGGTCATTGTATATGTTGCTTGTTTTCCTGAGAGGAATCGCCCCTACCTGAGTACTTTATATTTTTCACTGTGGGTTTCGTCCCACTTTAAGCTATGGTGCTTTAATAAATTCAGTAGTTCTAAACCTGCGACTGCCTCCTGCCTACTCCTCTCTACACTTGTGACAGAATGACCGACCCAAGAAAACAGGAAGCAGCAGGACATCCGACCTCTCCGCTGTAGGAGCGAAGCTCCTCCACCACGACTTGTGCCTGGAGCGCCTCGGGACTGCCATGGACAAGGTGCTCCGGGCCGTACGCCAACTGCAGGCTAAACCACCACCTTCCCAGCTCCCCACGGTCGTTCCCCACCACCATCTACATCATCCGGTCTGATCAGCAACGTCCAACTGCTCCTCCCGGAGCGGTTTGACGGCACCCCAGCTCACAGTAGGGGGGTTTCTCCTGCAATGTGACCTCCACCTTGCCCCTCATGCCGGGACGGCCTCCGAGAGGGACAAGGTGGCCTTGGTGATCTCGGTGCTGACAGGCCGGGCTCTGGAGTGGGCGCACGCCATCTGGGAGAGGGATGGTCCGACCCGCACCGCGTCTCCGGGGTTGTTCCCAAGGTCGGCGCCTGTGGAAGTCCCGAATGAGAGAACGATCCAGGACGTCCTGCGCCGAAACCCAATACCGCTCTTCGTACCATACCCCTCCCAGTCGACCAGGTACTGGAGAAGTCTCCCATGATGCCGTCCTGTGGACGGCGTACGCCGGGGCCCCCTCGACGTCCAAGGAAGGGGGAGGTGCGTCGTGGGGTCCAGCACTAGCCAAGGGACCAGCTGCCACCGGCCTGAGGAGAGGAATCGCTGAGAGGAATCGCCCCTACCTGAGTACTTTATATTTGCACTGTGGGTTTCGTCCCGCTTTAAGCTGTGGTACTTTAATAAATTCAGTAGTTCTAAACCTGCGACTGCCTCCTGCCTACTCCTCTCTACACTTGTGACACCAGCAACCATGCGGGCGACTATTGTGGCCCGCAGTGCCAACTACAGCACCACCCCGAGAAGAAACTACCATCAAATAATGCTGTATTACAGTGTGACATAGGCTGGGTTTACACAGGCAGCCCAATTCTGATCTATTGCCCAATTATTGGCAAAAGAGCTGATCTGATTGGTCAAAAGACCAATTAGTGTAGAAATAACAGAATTAGGCTGCCTGTGTAAACGCAGCCATATTATCCATAAGGGTTTACTATCAAGGTCTACACAGGATGGTTATAGGAGGCACTAAACACTAGAATGTAGCAATTTAGTAGGTGCTACAGTTATTTAATTTCAGTTGTCCAAATAGAGGGATGGAATTTGGCACTGACCTTTTGGACCAGGTCAGGAAAATGTTCTGTGATGACAGCGAAGGACCTGCCACTCATGGCAAAGTGGTAGCGCTGCTCCTGCTGCGTGGGCTGCTCACCATAGGCCACATGGCACACATCCTCAAGGCTGATCTCCACTGACTGGGGAACAATAGAGAAAAGGGGGGCAGGAACGGCCATGATGGATCATCAGTTGCAACAATATCAATGATAAGAAGAGAAACTGCGTGCTTAAGCTACAGGAAGTGCAATGTACTGAATAGACACATACAGTGTGTAGCTACCTTTTAAAATAACACACATACTGCTTTATTTATCCAGGAAGTCCTTTATAAAATATAAAGAATCTTGTTTCCAAGGGAGACTTTCTTAATAAAATCAGATCATGTCTTTATAGAATAGTTGAATATCAATCTACAATGCTGTTTTTCCCTCACCTCAACATGGATATCTATGCTGGTGGAGTGGTTCTCTGTGTAGTGCCAATTGATCCTAGAAGGCTGGATGTCTTTGGGAGGTGTGGCGTCTGCTATGATGACCCTCTCATGAGGTGCTATCGTCCCACAGTCTCTGGCTACTGATATAGCTGTTAGCATATTATCACCTACAGACAGACATTGTTACCAGTGTCGGTGTGGCAGCTAGTCATAGCTAGTTTAGTCATCCCAAATTACATAATAGCAGTTGCAGTACTGATGGTTCCTTCAGAGTCTAAAGCGCTGGTGGAAGTATGGTAAGATTGGCTACAGTACATCCATCTCAACATGTTTTACTGTGAGTGAAGACTGTGTATAAGATTACCTTATTCACCTGTAACCATCACAGTGCGAATGTTTGCACATCGTAGGTCTTTTAAAACCCCAGCAGTCTCTTCCTTCAGCTTGTTTGGCATGATTAGGAGCCCAAGGAACTCCATATTGGTCTCTATGAGATCCCTGACAGGAATAGAAAACAGACAATTAAAAAATAAGAATTTAGCCTAGGTAAAAGGAAAATAGCTAACTCAAGTTTACAGATGTCTTGAATCATCCAACAGGAAATAAGCTAGTTCTCATTACTGTGATTGGTTCAGCACATTGTAATGTGGGGACCGATCCAGACGAAGAAGATCGACGACCACCACATCTTCACATATTTTTGCTTATTATTATCAAAGGTCTACAAGTTTTTTTCCATGTATCTATGTATCAGATGCCAGGACACAGAATTCTAGGCTTCAGGAACTGACAATCCAATCTTGAACTAAACTGCTGAATTTCACTCTGTACCCAAAGTAGCCGTTATCTCACTGTTCTCATTGTTCAATTGGAAATTGTATCAGTTTCATATCAACCAACGTCTGTAATGATGCATGTATTCGTAATTCAGAATGACTATATAATCTTGAGACATTAGAAGAATTTGCCTTTGAGCCATGCCTTTTAGCCAATCTCTACCACACAATACTAGTGGCCTTGGCTTTTTTAGCCTCTGTTACTATTAGTCTGCATTTTCACATGACCACTTGTACCTCAAAGCTCTGTATTAAACCGTTTACTTCCACCAGATACTGAAGTCAAGTCTCCTCTTTTACCTTTTCAAAGTCAACTTGCTATTGCAAAATTGCCTTTTACAGTGTTCAGCACATTCTACTACCTGTTGAGGTTCTAAGTTTGACAAGGAGAGTTTGGCGATGGGCCAGGGTTATGACTCTGAACCCCTGACTCCAGTGTCTCGCTAAAACTCTCTGATACTAAAGGAAGGAAAAGAAGAGTAAATATGGGTTACAGTCAGTTCCCCTGCAATAAAGTCTATATCATTTTAAGTGTTTCCAAAGCCTGTCTTGACAGTCCACATACAGGTTGGCAATGTTCTGGCAAACTGCTCCCTGGTAAGAGTTGGTAAGGGTCTAACTAACCTGTGTGCTCTCCGCAGAACCTGGCCACAACCTCTGGCGCCCCCTTGAGGTAGGTGTCCATGTGCTTCTCCCCAGCCTCCGTACCACCACACGCATCCTCTGTAGAGCTGACGAACAATCGCAATCTCATATGACGATTTAGGACAGACAGACAGCACATGGTCAGTCAAACATTATTAATTCAACCTATCCATCCACATACAAATCCATTCACATACAAATCAATACTCAAGGAAAGAAAGAAATATGCTTTTGAAAAAGTCCTCAGACTATGTACTGTCAGCTCAGACAACTCCTGAAAAGCAAAGGAGAAAATAAGGTTTAAAAACAACTATGGTTAAGGTATATTTAACAGGTACAGTGCATTCGGAAAGTATTCCGACCCCTTGACTTTTTCCACATTACAGCCTTATTCTAAAATGGATTAAATTGTTTGTTTCCCTCATCAATCTCCACACAATACCCCATAATGACAAAGCAAAAAACTGGTTTTTAGAAATTTGTGCAAATGTATTAAAAATAAAAAACTTAACTATAACATTTACATAAGTATTCAGACCCTTTACTCAGTACTTTATTGAAGCACCTTTGGCAGCAATTACAGCCTTGAGTCTTCTTGGGTATGACACTACAAGCTTGGCACACCTGTATTTGGGGAGTTTCTCCCATTCTGCTCTGCAGATCCTCTCAACCTCTGTCAGGTTGGATGGGGAGCGTCTGTGCACAGCTATTTTCAGGTCTCCCCAGAGATGTTTCATCGGGTTCAAGTCCGGGGTCTGGCTGGGCCACTGAAGGACATTCAGAGACTGTCCTGAAGCCACTCCTGCATTGCCTTGGCTGTGTGCTTAGGGTCGTTGTCCTGTTGAAAGGTAAACCTTCACCCCAGTCTGAGGTCCTGAGCACACTATTTTTAAAAAAATACCTTATTTACATAAGTATTCAGACCCTTTACTATGAGACTCTAAATTGAGCTCAGGTGCATCCTGTTTCCATTGTGCATCCTTGACAGGTTTCTACAACTTGATTTGGAATTAAATTGATTGGATATGATTTGGAAAGGCACACACCTGTCTATATAATTTCCCACAGTTGACAGTGCATGTCAGAGCAAAAACCTATTTTTGCTTTGTCATTATGTGGTATTGTGTGTAGATTGATGAGGGGGAAAGACAATTTAATCCATTTTAGAATAAGGCTGTAACGTAACAAAATGTGGAAAAAGTCAAAGGGTCTGAATACTTTCCGAATGCACTGTAGTTACACGTACAGTGCATTTTCTGAGATCTCCGAGATCCAGGAATCCTACAGGGTTTAAGTTCAATGTTCTAATTCAATTGTGAAATGCTTAATAATTACAAATAACACCGTCATAAATGTCATTCATGTAAGGGAAGAAAGGTTGTATTTCATGTCAAGACTCCAAGCATTCAACTCATGAATTATGGACAACTCGTGAACTAGGGTGTAAACATGTTTTGATTCAACTCCTGTATTATATATACTGTTTTTTACCACTACATCACTGGCTACCGGTAGGCCTATTTCAAGTGGTAATAGGCCTACACATTGTAGCCTAGTCTAGTAAATTGGCCGTGTGTGTTAGGGTGACCATCCCGTTTCCTCCGGGACAGTTTCAGCCCAATTTCAGGTGTACCGACTGTTCAGGCAAAAAAAAAAAAGGTACATTTGTCAGCAAGAAGCATCAATTATTGTAGGACTAACCAATGGCAATCGCCGAATGTCATTATGCACACTTTTTGGTGTTTTGTTAACAGATGTCAATTTCCATTCATCAAATGCTGCGAGTGTACACTGTTTGGATTATATTGGAGTGGAAAAACATGCACAGGTAGTCGACTTTTTGAAGTGATTTGTTTGACAATCAGATGAAAGCATGATGAATGGTTGTGTTCATGCCACATTAATTCATTTTTACCATTAAATTACGTTTGTATTATTAGGCCTTTAAAAAAAAATCTTTTTTTTTAAGAGACCCCTCCGAATGTCACGGTGTAATTGCCACTCTGAGCATAGCTATAACAGAAAGGATCCCACGGTGTAATTGGCACTCTGAGCATAGCTATAACAGAAAGGATCCCACGGCTGCCTCCATCTGTCAATATGCTTTGTGTTGTAGTCATGACAGAAAAATATATGAAGTCAGACAAACTTTACTGAGCATGTTTCAGTCCGGAACAATGCATATTCAAGTCAGAACATTTCAGTTTCCTGTGTAATATCAGTATGTGTAACATCAATATTGCTACAGTATTCATACAGAAATGGTGTTAGCATGTAGCATTGTTAGCATAGCTATAAGAGAAAGTACTGTAGGTTACAATATCCATACATGAACAGAGACAACTTTGAGAAAACATTGAGACAACTTTGAGACAACATTTAGACGGACTGACCCAGCCTGTGGCGTTGAACATCTTTAGGCCCGGTGGGTCTCTATCTTGGTCAGCAAGTGGCAGGTGGCCATGCAGGTCACAAACGAGGACTTAACTAGGGTCTCATTCGCTGGGTCATCCTCTGGGGCAGAGAAACTGAGGACATTTTTTGGGGGGTGTTTTTCCCTGTAGTGGGCTGTAGCTAAGTAACCAAGCGCACATTTTGGGTTTCTGACTAAATAATCCTCAAAGGTAACTACAACCTTAAGTAAATGTGTAACTATCCCTTTAACATAGTGGGGTTACATGAGGGCACTAGGGACAGGGTGTAGTGAGAGGACCGGGAGAAACAAAGGAGCTGTGGTATTCATCGACTGACTTTACCATAGATCATTAAAAACTCTCTCACAAAAGAACAAAGGAGGTTCACAGACAGCAGATAACTGATACATGGTAGAAGAGAACATCTATCCTGAGCAGAAAAACATGGACACAGCATATCCCTGTCATTCTCACCTGCCATTTTCAGCTCTCTGGATCCCCCAAAGGTCCAAACCATCTTCAATGAGAGTGCCGGTCTGTGTGGGGAGCAGGCCAGTTACACATTCATATACTGTAGCTTCATTCTACAGCTGTCTGCATGTAGTATGTGTGTGCTAGCTAGTGATTCTGAATACTTTCTTTTGAGATCACAGATTAATCGTTTTACAAAAATATACTACTGATATTCTACATCTCACATTTTTTCCTTGCTTGTATGGACTAGCCAGGTCTATCCAGTCTTAACTGTACTTTCAGAGCTAAATTCCAACATTCAAAAGAGCAGTTAGGCCAAATGAGTTTCAAGAACAGGTGAGGTGTGTGTACTAGTGCCTGTAGGGACATGTTTAGGATGTATGCCAATGTGTAAGGTACAGTAGATGGAGAAAACAGAGGGTTGTGGGTAATGTAGGCTACCTGTAGTCCTGGAGTAGTTTGCTGAGACTGGAGCTGTGGTCAGTGTGGATGCTGACAGTGTCACCCTGACATCCTCCAAGCCTCTAGAGGAGCAGCACACAGTCACCTCCATGGTAATACTGTATACGTACCACCTTTCATATAAGGACAATAGAGAATGTCCATGTTTTCAAGGTTGCAGTAAAAGGTACCATTTGGCATTTATGGGGGCAACTTCTTCGAAAATGGTCATGAAACGTAAAACATGTAATATTTCTGACCTTTTCTGACAGCACTGGGGTTTCCAATACGGTTCTTAATTAAACACTTCAAAATTCTGTATCAAATAATTCCAGTAGTATTTTGTGCTGTGGTGGGTGAAGTAGAGAATCGAAAGAAAGAAAGAAAGATGCAGTCAGAACACCAAGCAATGTTCAGGAATCAATTGAGAGGGCTTTGGCATCTGTCGCCTTCAAAGACACCAAGATTTGTATCAATTTCTTGATGTGTCTCAATAGTCTTGGATGGATAGCTTCCTTCCCTTAGGGCCACTTTCCATCAGGAACACTGATATGTAACTTTCACCAGTGGTGCTGAAGGAAAGGAAATGAAGGGAGGGAGCCATTCAAGACAATTGGGTCACTTTGTTAATGAAGATCAGAAGATGAAGAACAGAGGCCTGTACCTTACCTGGACAGGTTGGTTATAGACATATTTTCCTTGATGTTCATCTTGGAGGGCACTGAATGCATGCATACTGTCCCCATTAGGTTTGTGCAGAGGGACCTGGAGATCCACACTGTTAAAGGGTCTCTTTCCTGGGGCTAGTATCACATGCACCATGTCCCAGAACCACCTCCTGAACTCGTCCTGTGAGAATTGAACCATGTCAAGTCATCCCGTTAACCTCTACTTAACCTTGTTTCCAGGTTTATTGGGAACAGCACATAGACTTCTGAGCTTGGGGAGGAAGCATCTGGTGCGCGAGACTACAGTTTGATGCTGTAAGACACTAGTGATTGAGCCTAAACCTATGATTGATTTAGCAGACTGACTTTTCAGTAGATAATTGGTTATTGTACGGTAAGTCTCAAGCCAATGCCATCATTACTGTTACTTAGGTCAGTGGATCTCAAACTTCTCCTCGGGGACCCTCAGACGTTTCACAATTTTGTTGTAGCACTCAACTATCTCACCAGATTCAACTGGTTAAGGACTAGATAATTAGCTGACGAGTTGAATCAGGTGTGCTAGAATAGATCAAATAGAAGGAACGGCTGGGGGTCCCCGAGGAGAGGTTTGAGAAAGGCTGACTTAGGTCATAGTAGAACAGAATATCATAGTATAGAATAGGTTATCATTTGTTGGAAGGTTCTTTTTACTGAGTAAGGTTAGTGCACCATGGATCTGAGCAGCAGTGTCTTGGCCTCCCTGATAGAGGGGGTATGTGTGCAGGTCCCTCTCACTCCCCACTCAGGTAGCCAGCAGCGCAGAAGGAGCAGCAGCCCCCCGGAGCAGAATGCCCCCACGCCCACCACAACCGTCTTCCAGGGGCACGGCCAGTAACCCCACACTTACACAACTGTGGGAACCATTGGAGTCAACATGGAGGGTACAACTCAATATTAGGAAGGTGTTTTTGTTTTGTACAGTCAGTGTATTTCCACACTTTGAGGTTGGAATAATACTGTGAAATTGTGAAAATGATGATAATGCCTTTTTAGTGTAAGAGCATTATGAAAAGACTACCTGAAATGTCAGCCTGTTTTTGGTGGGAGGGAGTTTTGACTTTCCATTGTGA